ACTTCACGCATGTATCTACATGCACTCATAAATGCATACTGCGTGCGCACACACATACACACACACGCACACACACACACACACTGTAATTGTTTCCAAGGTATGATAAATCCTTAATTTCCCCGCATCCAGGTATCAAAATTTCTCTACTAAAACATGACAGTGCTTACACAAGAACAAAGTCAAGTTACCTTGCAACTACAAGACAATAACCAAAAAAGAAAGAAATCTTGAGTTGTTTGATGAGGGAATTTAAGCTTTTCTGGCACCCATACCATAGTAGAATGCACAAAAGCTTCTCACTTTTAAGAGTCAAGAAACCACAAAATATCAAGTTATATTGATTTTGAAAAACAGTTCCATTTTTCAACCCTGTTAACATCTGTCCACTGTCTTCTTTGATTTTTGTAAATGGACAGCTGCAGAATTTATTTCCATGTCAGAAATGAAAGTCCTGATTTTAAAATGAAAGTGTTAGCTAAACTGGTATCAATTAAAAAGAAAATCTAGCTAAAATGACCCTGATCAAGATTATGTATGTGCATAAAAGTACTGTATATCATATACTGTACTGGCCCTGTCGAACAAAATTATTTAAAAAAACATCCAAAGTTAAAAAGCCAAAATAATAATAATGCTACACAATATAATCAAAAATATCTCCCAATGTTTTCTTCTCATAATGTGCAAAACAATACAAAGGCAAAAAGACTAAAAGCAAATTTACCATTCCGGTCTTTTCCCCCCTTGCCTAGTGCTTTATGATCTTGTCAACTTTACAAAGGAATCTATGTAGAACTTTGGTATAAAATATTATAAGATTATGATCACAGTTTTGGGATGAGTATTTAGTGACTGGTCTTAATTATTATTTTTGGAATACCATCAAATGAAAGAGGAGTACATTTCAACTGTACCAACACTTTTACATGACAAGCACTGAAAATAACAAGCCATCCTAGTTAGGAACCAAAGTGACTACAAGGAGACTAAAACTGGTTGTGCAATTCCTGTTTGCCAACTTCCAAAGCCAAATTCAAGTTTGTATTTTACAGATGAGTAATTATTAAGCTACAGATGTTTCCTAGATGAAGGCTATTTCCTTGGTTTCCCTTTGAAGCTGCTAAGGAATATCTAAAAACAAAGTTAAGTTTTTAATCAACTTCCTGAAGGCTGTGATTGGGACGGAGGAGCCATGACAACCTGTGACAGCACTGGCTCTGTACTCTGGTCAGGCATCTGGCTGAGAACTGACGTAGCCACTGCTTCTGCCTTGGAGGTGGAGCTTACTCCATTAGAAGTGCTGACGGAACTATGCTGAATAGCTTCGGTGTGAGGACTACTTGGCACGGAAATGTCTTCGGAACTGTCATCTTTATCTGTTGCTGAAAAGAGAAGAACAGCATTTCTATTCTTTGTTCATGAAACTTATATCCAAAGAACTACAGGTTGAAAATTCCGACACAAAGTTTTAAAAAGTTTTAACAGGCAGTACAGATCCTCAAGCACTTAAAGCTACTGTATTTTTTGGAGTATAAGATGCACTCCCCCCCACCACCCAAGTTGGTGAAAATTTTGGTGCATCTTATAAGACCAAATACAGGCCTGTTTTGGGCCTCCCGAACCCTCTGTGCATAGTGTTTTCACCCTCCCCAGCCCCCAGAAACACTCTGCAGTGCTCCACACATCCCGTTTTCTCCAAAATCTAACCTGTTTTTGGCCTACAAAGTGCTTCTGGAGGCCGGGGAGGGTGAAAATGGGGCCCATGGAGGCCAAAAACTATTTTTTTCTTGTTTTCCTCCTCTAAGTCTAGGTATGTCTTATAGTCCGGTGCGTCTTATAGTCTGAAAAATAAGGTACTTCATGAAACAATGTGATCCCTTCATTTTTGAGAATAGCAGCTGAATGGTTTCATTATAATTTACTTCACTCCTCGGACTCCTGCTCTTACAATAACTGGAAATAAAAGGGGAGATAGGTATTAACATGAAGGGCCTTAATGGCCCAATTGCACCTATGCATCTCCCTGTGAAACAGGCTAATCAAAAATCCCCCCTCCCAAGTTTAATATTTAGTGTCAGTCACACAAAAAAGCAAGTTCCTGTTCTATTAAACTGCATTAGCAGCTAGTCATATATATTGCGAATAAATGTTTTATTTTAATAAATAAAGAATAACTATTTAATATCTTTTGCCTTTTTCTTCTCTACTTCCTTTCAAAACATGAAATCCTCCAATGAAGAA